CACCAACTGCGGACCCTCGTCCCTGCCCCTTTCTCATGGGTGGACGGTCACTACGCCCAGTGTCGCGAGACACTGGACGAGGGGCACTACACTCGTAAGCGTAGTGTCCTGTCTTTTGACATCTGTTGCATCTCTGCAACTTCTTGTAGCCTGTAGAGCGAGCCTTCTCGCTCTCTACATAACAGAGTTCCATCGGCTCTGGACCTCCGTTGTCATATCGTCTCGGTTGACGATATGATGTCGAGCTGGCGCGAGCCTGTCTCAGACTGAAGTCTTCCTGCTCCGCAATTGAAATGGCTTGTTCTAGTGAATCTAGTTCAAGCCGGAACAGGTGAGTCTTGACGGGACCATCCGCAAGACCCTGCATGAACACCGAAACCAACGTGTGTTCATCCACCGGATTGGAACTTATACAACTCGTGAGATGTCGTATATGTTGAGCGTAGGCGTGCACATCACGCTTACCCTGCTTGAGCTTCAAGAGTTCGATTCGAGCTCTGAACTCAGCTCTAGGCGGTTCAAACGTTTGTCTGAGCCGCGACTTGAAGACTTCCAACGACCCAAACGCGTATGGGTCGTGCAGCTTGAGCCCCAGTGCCCAAGTCTTGGCACGTCCTGCCAGATTTGACTGGGCAAATGCAACTTGCATATCCCCGTCGTCGATGCGACGCGCCCTTATGGCGTCATCCAATTCGACGAACCACCTCAAGAGGGAGTCTTCTTCGACCCCCCTATACTTTGAGATGTCAATCTTCAAAGTCTCGGGCCGACGCGAGTGAATCGACCCACCAGCAGCAGCCTGCTGCTGTCTAAATAGTTCAAACTGTTGAGCAGCCTGTTCTCTCAACAACTCTGCTTGTTGAGAACCTTGTTGGTGAAGCAAGGCTACTTTCTCGCGTTCTGCGTCAAGTTCATTTTGAATGAACTTGGCGATAGTAGCATGTTGGGCATCTCTATTGAGAGCCTCTAGCATGACGCTAACAGCATGGATGCCCATGGTCGAACCCATTCGTTCAACCGCATCCCATTCGACATCGCTCAAATGGGAGTAGCCGTCACGCGTAGCGTGAAAGCTTTGGTCATCTTCATCATCCAACATATTCATGTTGGATGTGAACGCGGTCCTTGGACGGACTACGAAGTGCTACCAGGTGTAACGGGGCACCCTGAAGCTTGTACTGGTGACAGTACAAGCTACTTATTCTGATAACAGAATAAGGCGGTGCCTCGTAACTTCACGTACACTCGTACGTGCAGAGGAAGACGGTAAGAAGAAGCGAGTACTCGGTTAGAGTAAAAAGTAGAACTGTATTTATAATAGTTAATGTCTGCAATAAATCACTATTTATCTTCATCTAACTATGTCTAAATACAAATGTGTAAATCAGTTATCTGCTCACCACTCATTGCGTGCGTCTGTCGTGGCGCGTCTTCGTTGGTTGATATAATGGCCTATATCAACCAATTAGGAACTACTTGGAAGTGCTACAGAATATTGTCCTTATGACAATATTCTGAGAATATAACTCTTATAGTTATATTCTATTAACAATTTCTTATAAATTGTTATGTAACGATTCACCCCGTTACACCAACACAAGAGTGCTAAACAGTCCATTCAAGCTTGCTTGATCAGAATAGAGTGTAAATGGGTGCGTGATCATGTAGTTGCAACGACGGATTTGCTGAAGAGACAGACTACTGCTAATGCACTACTACGTGCTGTTCTTGCACAACGCAGGCACATCGATCGAGCGAAGACGAAGGATGGTTTGCGAGTGCGAAATGCGAGTGAAATGACTCTCATTTCTACAGCTTTGGGAATCTCTGGAAGCTGCTTGTGCTCATCAGCCGTCACCAACCCTTGGTCTGTCATGCAAATCGCATGTTGGTTCACTTCAGCACATCGTCATCGGTGGACGAGCCATAGCTACTGTAGTGATTCATGGTGGAATGTGTGGTACATCTGTTTGTACCGGAAGAAAGAAGTAGCGGAGAGGTCACACACGCAAATCTTGATGTGCTACGCCATGTGCTTGGTAGCTTCTTGACACAGTACTGGAGCAGGCAGGACGATGCACACGATCCACCTTTCGGTTGCATTGAATGTCACTCTATCTAGGACGTCGCCTGCTGTAGCTGCTGCAACATGACACCCCACCGAGCATAATGCTGCCATTGTCATGAACTTGCGCACACTCAATAACACGAGTCAACGTTTCCCGTCATGGACATTTGTCCCTACATGCACGAATGCTGAATGTGCAGCTCGTGCTTTGCAATTGCACCTTTTTGCGTGCGACCTGAGAAGCTTTCTGCTCACAGAAAGTATGTACTCGTACGAATGGGGACAACCGACGCAGCCAAATCTTGCTATCACCATGTAATCGGAAGCAGCATCACTCTGCATCGGATGGCCACCTATCTATCCATGACGCTACTTGGTAAATCCTGAATGTCGATTAAGTGCTCATGGCCTATACGATATCGGTGTGCTGCTGCCTAAACTACATCATCTTCTCCTTGCTGGCTTAGTCTGCTTGGCTTGGCCTTCGGTCATCACGGGGGACACTTCGCAGAGGGCACGTGGAATCGGATATCCAGTCCGGGGTGCAGACAGGGCGCTGAAGTCGCAGGAAACGCCGGGGACCAGCCCGATTTTTTACCCCCGATGGGCCGCGGACGTACCTGGACTAGACCGATCTTGATCACGTTCTCGGCAAGTTCGCTTCGTTAAACTCAAGAGTCAAGCTCGGCGTCCGGGCCAACAACTCGAAGGCTGAAGCAAAATAGTAGGTGTAGGTGAAGGGGGGGGGTGACAATCGCTGTTACCGTTCCCTTCACCTCGTCCCCTTTGGGTTTACTCGCTGTGGTGCCTTCTGTAGCGCACGCAGCGGCAAGACGGCCTTCCCCCTTTTATCGGGGCCCCAGATAGGGGAAATCACATAAAACATGGTGGTCGCCTGAACAATCTGTGGTACGGTTAGACTATCCATTAGCCTTATTTAATACTTGCCAACATGGGTAAGAATAAGGCCACTTTAGAATGAACTTCAATAGAAACGATTCTAAGATAGACAGAACCCTCTGCTTTCCAAATGGACTGCGTCCCTAATTTTTGGGTAGCTTGCTCAGGCCACTCTATGTCCTTACCTCCCCGTCCTCGCAGGCAACCCCCGTGATACGATCTCTTGATTGCGGCAGTTCAAGCGTATGTGAACGCGTCTTGTGCGCTCTCCTTTTGTGTAGAAGGTAAACAAGGTCTAGGTGTTCGAGTTCCAAAGGTGTCTGTCCTTGTTTCCTGCATCCTCTCGTCGACATTTGCTTAACACTGGACAAGGATCGGGCGGTTATGTGGATGAAGAACCTGATTTGCACTTTATGATATGAATGATGCTTCAGACTAGACAAGGATCGCGCGGGCGGTTATGTGGATGAAGAACCTGATTTGCGCTTTTGACATGGATGAAGGACTAATTTGGCGACCAAGCATGTAACTGACTCACTGAGTTTGCGGCTCATCCGGTGATTTATTACGGCACGTCATTCAATCGACACAGTATCGCGTCGTATCATTCAGTAAATCATTGATCAGTAGACGGACATGAATGACTCGATCTTCTTTTGAGAGAGAGAGAGAGAGAGAGAGAGAGAGAGAGGAAAGAGGAACAGACCGTCTATTATACGATATTATGGTGTACAAGACGTCTGGAAAGACCTAAGCCAGGATAGCAACGCCGGTGTCGGATGATCCGGTGGTTGTACGTGACTCACCGCTGTGTGCGGTGCTCTAGATAGGGCCATGGTGAGCAGTCCAATGCATTGCATCAGACGAGTCCCGGCCACCTGGGTGTGTAGCTGTCTACGCTCTCGCAGCGCTAGCGCGTGTAATTGCCGAAAACTTAAAACTGTGCATTCGTGGATACATCCCGCCAAAGTGACGGAATGCCCTTCGTGAACGACCCGATTGCGTTGCACCCATAATGTCGTGATACATATAGAACAGAATACCCACCACATCCGCTTCCATTGACATACATATGCCTCCATCGAATGTCCAAACGCGCTCGGCAGCCGCCGAGAAATGATCGGATGTAACGACGGGGAATTTCGTGACATGCAAAAACTCGCATAATGCTGCACGCTGACCGGCATCACCGAGCATCCGGTCCAAACTCGATCTTCTTTTGTGCCGTAGAAACGTCCACCATCGGTCGTCAATGGGTAAGAGAAATGGATTACAGCGGCTCATCTGACTACATTTAAGCATTCATTATCTCCACTGCAACTTCCACCGCTTCAGCTGCCACCGCTACAGATTTCGCCGTCGCGGGTTGGCTCCCACCCGCGCCGCTGGGCAGGAGCCGTCGTCTCGCAACTGAAGACCGCAGCCCGTTTGAAAAGCGATGGGTCCTACTAATCTAAGAAACGTTTCGAGTAACGTCTCTTCTAAAGTGTTTTTTTTCTTACCCTTGTTGGCATATATTAACTAAGGCTAATGAATAGTCTAACTGTCAGTTTCTTGGACGAATATCCATGTTTTCATACGATTCCCCACGATACGGGACTTCCCACCCAGAGTTAGGGACCTGATCGCCTGGTTCTTTAGAGGTATTTGTCGCTTGGCATTGTTGCCCGAAGGCGCAAGTTGGGAAGTGTTACGCTGTGAAGTAGTAATTAGTGTCGTCACTGACTTCATGCGCACTTACGGGGCCAGCTCTGAGACGAACAGTGCTATCGCTGATGCTTTGACAACAGCTTTGTCCACTCCAGCGGTTCCAACGCCAAGGGAGAAGACACGTTTTATATAGAAAGCGAGACTTGCTCGATTAAAAGCCCACAACAATGCACTTTCTGCCGGCCCTTGTCACGCGTGATTAGACTCAGCTGCAAGTCACCCATGCTGGTCACCGCCACTATGAAACAAACCGGCTTGAGTCACTACTGAAGAAAAGTAAAGAGGAAGCCGCAGGTAAAAGAGACGCAGATCAAAGAGTGGGATGATCGTGGCTCAGAAAAGGGATCAGCTTCTGACCAAAGTCTCTACTACTGGCACGACCGGTCACTACGAAACTCGCCCGCCAGCCTCACAAGCAACCACCCGAACCCGTTTCAACATGCGCATCTACACCACAGAGCTCCTCGCTGCGGTCGCGTTCATCGAAAGTCTCTCAAGATACTCTGCCTCAGGTTCGAAGACGCTGCGGCCGGATCTTCGTTCCAGTGATCATCCCAAGGACCCTGTGAAGAATGCCAGCGACAACCACATGTTGCCAAGCAACGACATAGCAAATGGCGAAGACAGGACATGGGCTTTGGAATTTCCCGAACTCTATGCGGTAGTTGAACGGGCGCAAGGAGTGATACACGACCAAAGTGTCCCCATGCTTGCTGCTGAAGATTGGGATCAACTCAGACACGCACATTATGCACCAGAACGTCTCGAGTCGAGCGGAACCGTGGCGACACCGGTGTTTGATCTGCCTTCGCTCGCGGCACCTGTCGTGGCTTCTCAATCGGAAGCAGACAGTACGAGGGTCAACGAGCATTCGCCTGGTGTGGCTTCTCGATTGGAAGCAGACAGTACCAGGATCAATGAGGAAGCGATTGCTAAGGCAACTCAATCGGAGGCAAAAAGGAATAGGGCCATCGAGCATGCGCTTGCTACAGCTCTTCAACCTAAAGACAAACGTACAAGTATCATCGAGCAACTGCAACAGCAAACGGATAAGAACCTTTTGAGTGCAGACCAGTGGAACTCCCTGAAGGGGGAGAAAACACAGGATTGGACAGCAGAACAGCTGATGCACGAGCTGGTAGAGGTGTATTGTGCCAATACTGATGGCTTAACCAAACTCGCGTCTGCTTTGCTAAAAGCTAAGGTGGCTGCTCTGATCGACGGGGAGATATTCACTGCTTTGGAGGCAGCGATGTTAGAATCCTGGAAGAACCGCGGCATCACGTTCGACCGTTCTTCCGACCTTCTGGAGCTCTCCAACCTGACGGCAGAAAAGGACATGACGGACCAGTTGCGACTGCTTGAACGATACAAATTTGTTATCCATAGCGGTCGTGGCCAAGTACGTAATGTATATTTGCACATACTCAAAAAGCTTAAGAGCAAAGGCAACTTTGATTATCTACGGGCGATAGTGCCCATGGGGGAGGAGTCTACCATCGCGGACGAAATGCTGATGTATTTCGTAATCCGTGGCTATCTCAAAGGCGTGACCTCCGCTACAATGATTGAACGCATGCGCGCTGCGCAAATAAGTGAATCCATGATTCAGCGTCTGCCAAGTAAAGCACGCGAGGTTGCACAAGTGCAAAAAAAGAACGACCGCAAGGTTCGATGGACTAATATTGCGGAAGGGTTGGACACGGCGCTGAAAGAAGACCCGACTAAAGTTGTTAACAAGGCTCTGGTAGAGTCAAAGTCGTCCAGCAACCCGAGCGCGAACAATTCAAAGAGGAAGGAAGGCACTTTTTCGACTTACGAGGTTGCACTAGCGTTACCAAAGGAGGACCCGAAACGCCAAAAGACCGCGGGACCTTCCATTCGACGTTAGGTGGAGCAAGACAGTGCGCTTTCGGATCGGCTTTGATGAAGGAAGGGCTAGCGACAGCAATCGGGTACTGGATGGAGCAAGGGGGTTGAGGTGTTGGTGAGCTTGCGACAAGCCTAGAATAACATTGCTGGCCTTGATCTACCAAGACAAGTCAGATAAGGTGAAATACAACCACATTAACCCTTTGATTCAGGCTCGAAGCCATGATGCTCACACTTGTCAACGGCGCGTTAGGTAAGAAACAAGGTCGAACCAGAACGTGACCTGTGCTTTTCTTCAGGAGTGGATGAATTCCGACACCGCTTCTCGTTTGGATTCGTTACTGCTACACTCGGATGCAGGCGTGTCTTCCTCCACCAACGGGCGGATTTAAAGTACTGGTCGAATCAGCACCGACGTTGAACGTACTGCTCTTCGATACTCGACAACTGATGGCACTGTTTTCCAGTGCACGACGTTGTGCGATGGAGTGCATTTGTCATGGCATGGAGACCTGACAGCAGGCAAGCTAGATTGGCACTTGATTTGATGCTCTGAACACATACAGAGCTATGTTCGTGTCGTGCTTGCTCATCTTCCTGCGACAAGTATAACCCAACAACCCTGCAAGACATACCATTACTTGACCAGCTGGTACCCATGTCCTCGTTGCTTTACTTGATCGACAAGGCGAACGTGGTTCATGCCCGCTTCAAGCACGACGGGTCTTCATTGTACTCGAATTGAAACCGAATCTCTTGGTTTGTATTCTTTCTTGACACTGGCACCAAGTTTCAATCAATCTTGCTCACACGATGCACCGTTTGCACTCCAGCGAGGGCTTCGATCGCCAAAACCACGGAGCCTTCCACGTCACTGCCAGGCGCAACGGCAAGAGCACTCTGTGGGTCCAACTCAAACGCGAGAATCGTCACGCCCTCATTCTCCATGCGCAATCCACACTTCTTGATCTCAACCTTCCCATCGTGAACCCCGGCAATCACATCGCATATTTGCTTCAATAAATTATGGTTCGGCAAACGACGCTCGCCACCGTCTTCACCACTGCAATGTTCCATTGCAGCCTCCACCTTCAGACAAAACGTGGTCGTAACCACTGTTTCGCCGATGCCAACCATGAAGTGATCAATACCCGGCACAAAAAGCTTGCACCAGCTGCAGCTCGAATTATGCCTAGGTTGCGCGGCGACCGCACAACATCCATAGCTTTCTGAGCAAGGCTCGTTTCATACATCATCTGTCCCCACTGCACAACTTCATTAGCTGTTGGCCGTGCCGTCGGGTCGTGGCTTAATAACTTGCTGAGCATGTCTAGGATTTCAGGACATCTCTTTGTCGCGCGGAGATCAGCAGTGTAGCGGGGTGAATCGTTACATAACAATTTATACGAAATTGTTAATAGAGTATAACTATAAGAGTTATATTCTCAGAATATTGTCATAAGGACAAATATTCTGTAGCGCCTACGAGTAGTTCCTAATTGGTTGATATAGGCCATTACATCAACCAACGAAGACGCGCCACGACAGACGCACGCAATGAGTGGTGAGCAGATAGTTAATATGCACGTTTGTATTCAGACATAGTTAGATGAAGATAAACAGTGTTTTTTAATAGACATTAAATATACTAAATACAGTTCTACTTTTTACTTTAACCAAGTACTCGCTTCTTCTTACCGTCTTTCTCTGCACGTGCACGTGAAGTTACGAGGCACAGCCTTATTCTGTCATCAGAGTAAGTAGCTTGTACTGTCACCAGTACAAGCTTCAGGGTGCCCCGTTACACCTGGTAGCACTTCGTAGTCCGTCCAAGGACCACGTTCACATCTAACATGAATATGTTGGATGATGAAGATGGCCAAAGCTTTTACGCTACGCGTGACGGCTACTCCCATTTGAGCGATGTCGAATGGGATGCGGTTGAACGGATGGGTTCAACCATGGGCATCCATGCTGTTAGCGTCATGCTAGAGGCTCTCAATAGAGATGCCCAACATGCTACTATCGCCAAGTTCATTCAAAATGAACTTGACGCAGAACGCGAGAAAGTAGCCTTGCTTCAACAACAAGGCTCTCAACAAGCAGAGTTGTTGAGAGAACAGGCTGCTCAACAGTTTGAACTATTTAGACAGCAGCAGGCTGCTGCTGGTGGGTCGATTCACTCGCGTCGACCCGAGACTTTAAAGATTGACATCTCAAAGTGTAGGGGAGTCGAAGAGGACTCCCTCTTGAGATGGTTTGTCGAATTGGATGACGCCATAAGGGCACGTCGCATCGAAGATGGGGATATGCAAGTTGCATTTGCCCAATCAAATCTGGGAGAACGTGCCAAGACTTGGGCACTGGGGCTCAAGTTTCACGACCCATATGGGTTTGGGTCGTTGGAAGTCTTCAAGTCGCGGCTCAGACAAACGTTTGAACCGCCTAGAGCTGAGTTCAGAGCTCGAACTGAACTCTTGGAGCTCAAGCAGGGTAAGCGTGATGTGCACGCTTACGCACAACATATACGACATCTTACGAGCTGTACAAGTTCCAACTTGGTTGATGAACACACGTTGGTTTCGGTGTTCATGCAGGGTCTTGCGGATGATCCCGTCAAGACTCACCTGTTCCGGCTTGAACTAGATTCACTAGAACAAGCCATTTTCATTGCGGAGCAGGAAGACTTCAGTCTGAGACAGGCTCGCGCCAGCTCGACATCGTATCGTCAACCGAGACGATATGACAACGGAGGTCCAGAGCCGATGAAACTCTGTTATGTAGAGAGCGAGAAGGCTTGCTCTACAGGCTACAAGAAGTTGCAGAAATGCAACAGATGTCAGAATACAGGACACTACGCTTACGAGTGTAGTGCTCCTCGTCCAGTGTCTCGCGACAATGGGCGTAGTGAACGTCCACCCATGAGAAAGGGGCTGGGACGCGGGTCCGCTGTTGGTGCAAAGACGCAACAACGAGATGGACCGTCAAAAAACGGACAGGATCAGTAGGTGCGGAGCACCCTACTGGTCCAGCAACGTCAAGAGAATTTGTAGGCCTCTTGATGGAGGTTGCTCCCAACACACAAACGTTGTGCGTTGCTGCTCTAGGTAATGAGATCTCACTCATTACCTTGAAACTCGAAGTGACAAATAAGTTGTCCCTTCGAGCGCTAGTCGATTGTGGGGCGTCCAATAATTTTGTGCAACGCCAATCCCTAGAAGATGGTCACTTCAAGTTTGTTGAATGTGACACACCTCCTACGAGGATGACGGTACGTCTTGCGACAGGCGCATCCGTAACCGTCATGAAGCGTATAGTGAAGATCCACTATACGCTAGAAGATACCCAATATGACGATGACTATATCGTATTGGATTTGGATGAAAAATTTGATGTCGTCCTTGGAATACCGTGGCTCAGAAGGTACGAACCACGGGTAAACTGGCAACATCGAACAAAAACGATGCCTGCCGCTTGTTCATCATATGGCCATCTGATGAACGTTTTGGAGCGTCCACAAGCGTTTGGATGTACTACGAGTGAGTGCAATGGCCTCACTTGTGGTACGGTCGTTAGTACGACTGCACAAAACCTTAGTGTAACAAACGGTTACACTTCGGAGCAAAGTTCCGGCGGCTGTGAGGAAACACAGGCTGCGCCGAAGGTCCACCACTCAAATAAGTCGAGTGGACCGGGACAAAGATGTATCCCTAGCGGGGAACATCTAGAAGTGAAACCATCGATCGCTCAGGTTAAGCGAAACGATAATCCTGGATCGACTGGAGAGTCTTTCGTAGAGGATCTCGCTGTGGTTGTGCAACCCCAGCTAGAGGAAGTTAAGGGAATAAGTCCTGATATTATAAATACGGCGGAAAAAAGTTCCCCGAAACCAGAGGGAATAAGTCCCCGGGAAGCCGAAGGAATAAGTCCTTCGAGGCCTGAGGGAATAAGTCCCCAGGAAATGACAGAGACATTGAATGTCATAGTCAATAACGGATCATGTGTAGGCGCTTATACACTTGATCTGATTGCGCCTCCGAAGTTAACTTCGGAGATCACTCAGTTGCCAACGCTCGAACATAAAAGGTTCTTGCGTGATCTGCGTAGTGGCAAAGTCAAGCAGATCTGCATACTCGTCGCTGAAGACGAGTATGTAACCGACATAAGGTCAGCAACAGTGTTTACTGAGAACGAGAGAGTTCTCAGTAGTTCATCTATGGACGAGAGTGCCCTAGATGAAAAGACACGAGTTGAGCGATATGACTCTCAATTATTGGAATCGCTCGAGACAAATCCTCTCTTTGAAGATTTGGTTGAATTCAAGGATGTATTCCCTGAAACTGTTCCGTGCGAATTACCGAAGGATGAAGGTATTCGACACGAGGTCGAGCTTAAACCAGGCTCGAAGTACTGTGTCATGAAGCAGTGGCCACTGCCTCGTGAACAAGTACTTTCGATCGACAAGTTCTATGCCGATCGTTTAGCTGCGGGCCATGTGAGGGAATCAACATCCCACACAGCCCTTCGACCTTCTGTGTGCGAAAAGCCACAGGAGGGTGGCGGATAGTGCACGCATTTAACAAATTGAACGCTGCAACGGTACCGGCTCAGACACCGATACCGAGGAAGGACGTAATAATTGATGGTACTTCAAAGAGTATTATCTTTTCTTCCATGGATTTGATGGATGGCTTCTATCAAATCCTTTTGCAAGAACGGGATACACCCTATACCGCAGTTAGCACGCCTAGCGGCATGCTCTGGGAATGGCTAGTAATGCCACAAGGGCTTAGTAATGCCCCTGCCACGTTCAACAGATGTGTATCACATCTGTTGAGACCAGTACGAGAATTCGCGCCGAGTTATTTCGATGAAGTATTCATCCATAGTCGAGCTATGGACGGAAACTCGGACGTTGAGGTTCACAGGTACCACGTCCGACAGGTTCTTATAATCATGCGAAAGCATCAATTGTATGCAAACCTCAAGAAGTGTATATTTGCAGCAAGCGAAATACCACTTCTTTAATGCATCGTTGGTAAGAACGGAGTACGTCCTGATCCCGAAAAGATCAAGGCGATCACCGACTGGCCTGTGCCGGTTGATGTCAAAGGTCTTCGAAAACTTCTTGGGCTAGCGGCGTATTGCATAAGTATTCACGCAATTACGCCGAGATGAATGTGCACCTCTCTCGTTTGTTGAAAAATAACGAGAGGTGGTTATGGAACGCTGCATGTCAGCGCTCCTTTGATGGTATCAAGCAAAGATTGATACAACCCCAGTCCTAGCAATTGCCGATCAGGACAGGCCATTTCATGTGGCCTGTGATGCCAGCGATTTCGCAATCGGCTGTGCATTAATGCAGTACGATCTTGAAGGCGTTGAACGCGTCGTCTGCTATCAGTCGCGTCAGCTGCAACCAGCTGAGCGGAACTATCCAGTGCATGACAAGGAACTCCTTGCCGTGAAGTATGCACTCGCGAAGTTCAGAGTCTATCTATTAGGAGATAGACCCTTCATTGTTTACACTGACCATGCATCATTACGCACGGCAGTGAACAGCCCGCACCTTCCACAACGAATGGCTCGGTGGTTGTCATTATTTGCAGAATACAACTTTACGGTCGAGTACAAACCAGGACGACTTAATGTCGTCGCTGATGCACTCTCACGTCGTCCCGACTTTGACCCAGTCGTGAAACCCAACAGTGAGACAGTCACTGTTGCGGTTATGACGTCCTCAGTCCCATCTACAACGTTGTATGATGATGTGAGGCGGGCATACGCCCAAGATGGTGAGATTGTGAAGTTGTTGACACATCTCTCCCAACCATCTCGAGAATCGTTGAAACGATTGTCGCCTGCGTATCGATCTGCATCAGATCGATACACTATTCGCAACGGGTTACTGTATTATACAGCCGTTTCTGGTGACACACCACGTGTTGTCATTCCAGATGATACTGATCTGAGTTTTCGGATCATGTTCGAGTATCACGATGCTCCTATAGGAGGACATCGTGGCCGAGAGAAAACATATCTCACGGTAAGTCGAGACTTTTACTGGCCCCGCCAGTATCAGTTTGTGCGAAAGTATGTTCGCGCATGCGAAGTCTGCCAACGAGTGAAGTCAAGTCCTTCACTGCGTGCACCTTTACAGCCTCTACCGGTTCCGGCTGAGTGCTGGGAATCCATCTCAATGGATTTCGTCTTCGGGTTACCCAAAGACGCACGCGGGAATACGGGTATTCTCGTATTTGTTGACAGATTCAGCAAAATGGTACACCTTGTGGCTGTACCAGAGACAATCACGGCAAGTGGCTGTGCTTGTGTCTTTATTGGCACCATCTTCCGACTTCATGGGTTGCCCCGTGAACTCGTATCAGACAGAGATCCACGATTCACTGCTGATTTCTGGCGTTCCGTGTTCAAATCACTCGGAACGCGCTTGAAGATGTCAACATCTGATCATCCAGAGTCAGATGGTCAGACGGAACGTGCCAATCGTGTCCTTGAAGAGATACTTCGAGGATACGTACACTCCTTTAAGAGTTGGAGTGAGTTTTTGCCGATGGTAGAGTTTGCCATCAACAACTCGGTGCATGCGTCCACGACACATACACCGTTTTACGTGAATGGCTTGCGCCATCCGCGTGTACCCACCTTACTAGAGTGTAACTCTGGTTTAAGGGGGGGGGACTCGCGCGAGCAAAAACCGATTTGGTTCACGCTCATCACGCTCTGACAAAGAGGTCATTGCGTTTGATGCCGATATCGATAACATCGATATCGAAGAAGATGATGCCAGTGAGAGTGCGGAAGCCCTCACTGAAGACAATGATCCCAGTGAGAGTGCGGAAGCCCTCACTGAAGAAAAGGTTGTTGTCGCTGCAGTGCGCTCACAGCACACTGAAGCTAACGAGTCATCAGATGAGTTCATACTGGCTCGTGAAACGGTAGTCCGTTTTGTGCAAGACTCCATCGCCGAATCGGTGGATAAGCAAAAGCAAAACGCTGACAAGAATGGAAGGGCAAACACTCTTTTATTTAGTAAAGGTGACTTAGTCCTACTGTCTACGGTAACCTACCAAAGCATGTAGTGACTAACTTGGGTAGTAGTAATCTTCTACCCAAGTACATTGGCCCATTTCGTGCATTGCACCGTTTGGGCAATGCATACTCGATCGAGTTGCCACGTAAGATGCGAACGCTTCCCACGTTTTACGTTGGTCGGCTTAAGCCGTACCATCAGTACGCTGCTTCTTCCAATGAAGAACGCCCTTGCGCTCAAGAATCTCGCAGAGAGCCTTGTGCTCCCGATGGTGAGCATCGACAAGGGTCTGAAGAGCAGTTATCTCAGCCCGAGACTGCTCAACATTCCCACGAGCTACCCTTGGCTCGTCACGCAGAGACGTCAGAGATCTCTCGTTCTCAAGCTGAGCAAAAGCAAACTCAGCTCGATGCTTCCAGACAGTGTCCGCCATTTGGAGACGTCTATCCCGCTCATGTTCGAGATCACCGCGTAACCTTTGCGTTACGCGATCAAAGAAGCTCTCGGGAACACACGGATCCCCACGATCGTGTGGAGAGCGTCTTTCCTCCTCCTCCACCTCCATTAGAGGACTCTCGCGGTGGCCAGCGCTATCTAGTTGAGCAGCTGTTGAACCACCGCGACGTGAACGGACGTCGGACGAGTTACCTCGTCCGGTGGCGCGGTTGTCCCCCGTCCTGGGATACTTGGGAGCCCCCCTCCCAACTGATGATTGACGTACTGGGTCTTGCTGATCAGTACGACGCGGCACATCCTGTGCCGCAGAAGGACCGCCAGAGAAAGTCTTCCCGGCACGGTCGTAAAGGGTTATAAGGTTGTCAATCCCTTCGTCCCTTCGTACATCTCACTAGAGATACGTACGCGCCACCACGGGCTATTAGGGAGGTAAACCTCCTTAGGTGCGCGCGCTGAGTTTTTTACACAACAAGGGCACGGGGCTCCCCATGAGAGACAGGGTAATCCTTTCTCCCTTGACAGACGATGCAGCTTGTACCGTGCACCTGTCGGAGTTCGCTTTTCAAACTTATCACGAGCTTTGATAAGTTTGTCGTTCCAAACGTCACGACCTACATCCTCAAGGTTATGGATGTAGGCGTTCCACGCTTGAAGCAGTGAGGGACCATCACGTTTGTGATTCCCACTGTACCATCGATGTTTAAAGAAAGCATCGATGCAGAAATCATTCTCAGTAAGATAGTTTTTCGCACTGGGGTCAAGGTGATGGATCCTTGACGAATCGAACAACCGTGTTGCCGACAAGTGATCCATGACAGATCTTGGAGGCATCCATGATTTCTTCTCAGGAGCGAGACGCAACACGCTGCGGTCCCGCACTACCTGCGACGTGCCGACAGAAGGACTGGCACCTCGTTGCGAAGTGGTGTCAACAGGAGAGCCGACACCACTGTTAGCGCCCGAGTCTCGCGACCTCGAGCGCCTACGCTTTGGCGATGGTTCATCTGATTCATCAGACGTATCAAAGATGCTACGACGCGTGTATCAATTGTTCCGCGCTTGGCAGGCGGCTTGGTTTCAACCGCCTTCGATACAGATCCGTCTTCCGTATCAGGAGAGTATGAGACTCCGAGCTCATACTCTGTGAAGACATGAGTGTCTTCATGACCAGCGCCTGCATCACCAGGTGACACAGGCTGAGTTGCATCAGCAACCGATGAGACACCAGTTGCTGTGGTTTCTGCTTCGGCGTATGCACAGAGACGTGCAGAATCGCTCTCAGCGGCGTTTTTCGCACACCGCATGGACTTGTTAACCATGCGATGAGATGTTGGAAAGTGGACTCGGACCAACAAGTGCAAACCCTGTCCCAAATGATTTGGGACGAGTATCCATGTAGGCAAACAGTCACTAAAGTGACTGATGGTTAAGTGGGGGGGGGTGATTTAACGGGGTGAATCGTAACATAACAATTTAGAAGAAATTGGTAATAGAACATAATTATAAGAGTTATATTCTCAGAATATTGTCATAAGGACAAATATTCTGTAGCGCCTACGAGTAGTTCCTAATTGGTTGATATAGGCCATTACATCAACCAACGAAGACGCGCCACGACAGACGCACGCAATGAGTGGTGAGCAGATAATTGATTTACACATTTGTATTTAGACATAGTTAGATGAAGATAAATAGTGATTTCTTGCAGACATTAACTATTATAAATACTGTTCTACTTTTTACTTTAACCAAGTACTCGCTTCTTCTTACCGTCTTCCTCTGCACGTAACAGTGTACGTGAAGTTACGAGGCACCGCCTTATTCTGTCATCAGAGTAAGTAGCTTGTACTGTCACCAGTACAAGCTTCAGGGTGCCCCGTTACAAGCAAGGAACTTACTGTCTCGGGCATCACGGAGAGTGATGTATCGCTTCATTGTCGTGCCAAAGCGGTCGTGACACAGCTCAAAAAGGATCATTCCCAACGAGTACATGTCCGTCTTGGCGTTGTACTTCTTCCCTGCGACTTGTTCCGGGCTTGCATAAAGATACGTGCCAACACCCGCAGTCACCTCAGTACTCTCCGACATGTTCGACCACACCGACATAGATAGAGGAGTGTCCCCCACACCATTGGAAAGACATCCTTGTTGGGGATCATCAAGACTTGTCGAGACATTCAGGCTGCTTGCATTCGCAGCGTAGCGCGATAAGCCAAAATCTTCCAACTTAATCTCATCTCTCTACGTCGGCAACAAAGATATTCGCTGGCTTCAGATCGCGATGAATCAGTCCACACGAATGTACGTGCGCAAGTGCACTTGCTATCTGCACAAAGATCTTCAACATTCTCGACAACTCCATCGGGCGGCTTGGAACAGCCAGATAGTCCGCCAAGTTGCGGCCAGCACAGTACTGCATCTGAATGTACAGCCATGATCACATTTTTCTACCGCGTTGCACGAAGAGTCCTCGTCGCTACCATGAGCAGCCGGTGCGCAAGGCAAAGACAAACGGGAAGGCAGGTGGCTCATGCTTGGCTTGTTTTGCATGACCAGATCTTCTTCTTTCCAGCCATCCTCACCTTCCATCCTAGACGTCTTACGTTCCCAGACAAACCCACCATCATCGGCATTGTCACTGATCACGCTTCCGTCGCTGTAGAAGCTCTAGAGGTCGCGTTGGTCGACTGGAAACTCAAGCTCTGAGATCGGTACGAGAAGATTATTTGTTGAGTAATTTGCCGCGGCAGCGAGTCCACCGACTGAGCTCGTGTCGGAGGCAACCGAAGACGCTACCGACGTTCCATTTGTGCTCTCCCCAACCTTTTCCATCCATGCCTGATAGTACCGAACAATGTTAGGGTGGTCCAACAGCGCAAGAATCTTTACTTCACGTAAAAACTTCTGCAAAGTCTTGGATGTCTGGTTCTTCAAGTTAAGACCAACCCGTTTGATCGCATACCTTCGTCCATCCAACCGATTCTCGGCGAGTGCAACTTGACCAAAGCCACCCTTGCCAATTGCTGACAGCTCTTCAAACTCGTTCACAAAACGGCTTTGACACACAAACGGAAAAAGAACTTCTGCCTCATTCGAGGAAGCCTCGGATTCACACGAGGATGATTGCGATAATCCTCGAACACTGGACTGGTCCACGCTTAGCTTTTCATCCATACCAGTTTGATTGCCTCGCACACATCGCGTACCACCACCTCCACTCGACTGATGACTACTGTCACTGTCGCTGTTGCTACAGCAGCTTCCCATTGTTGATTCTCCGAATGAGCTTCTCGACTTTGGACCGCTCATGACTCTTGAGTCGGTACCTGCCTAAAACGCGTCATTCTTTAAATACATCGGCTTGGAGCTGTCGTTCCAAAGCATAATAACACGTGATCGGTGGTGAAGGGCACATGTATAGAGATTGATTGTGTTGATATTTCGACCTTTAGTGTAACGGGGTAGCCCGTTGCTTGAAATTGACACCAAACGGTGTCAATAGGGAGATTGTCTAGCATGACAGTTTCCTTCCAAAATTATCCAAGATAGATTAAATTGACGGAATTATCCCCTTTGGGATAATTTTCATGCGCTGCTCCAAGACTGGTTGACATAAGACATATCAACCATAGATTGCCACCAATCGCTGCTAGACGCGCTATGAGTGGTGAGCAGGTTGTCGTCATACAACGACGTAGTTTAATGTAGTAAGATAAAGAGTAAACTTATATTGATAAGCTAACTATATTAAATACAGTTCTCTTTTTACCTTTACTTGAACGAGTCGTTCAGGTCGATTAGCTTCCTCTGCACGTACGAGTGTACGTGAAGTTTCGTGGCCACCCCGATAAAGGGTGCCCCGTTACACCTGGTAGCCCTTTGTAGACTGTTCAACGGCTACTTTGTGTCCGTCAATCATGATGAACGCTGAATACGACAGCTTTCACGTCACACGTGAAGGCTACTCCCATCTGAGTGACCCAGAATGGGAGATAGTCGGCCGCATGAGTGTGCTCATGGGCGAACCCGCCATCAGTGGTATGATGGAGCCTCTAAGCAGAGACCAGCAACATGCCTCTATCAACAAGTTCCTACAAGGGGAACTTGCCTTCGAAAGACTTGATACCCTTTCTACACCAGCAAGGCTCTCATCAGTCGATGGGTGGGCCGACGCACATGCGTCGACCCGAAACCTTGAAGATTGATATCTTAAGGTTCAAGGGAACCGATGAAGATTGACTTTTGAGATGGTTCGTCGAGTTAGACGATGCCATCAGGGCCCGTCACATCGAGGGTGACGAGATGCAAGTCACCTTTGCCCTGTCAAATCTGACGAAAAGTGCAAAGACTTGAGCCTTAGGGCTCAAGCTTCACGACTCAAACGTGTTTGAGTCATTATAGATCTTGAAGTCTCGACTCAAAGAGACGCTTAAGCCATCAAGAGCCGAGTTTAGAGCACGCTCTGCATTCATGAGACTAAGCAAGGTAAGCGTGACGTGCACGCTTATGCACAGCACCTGCGCTACCTTGCAAGTAGCGTTACGAAAACCCTGTTGATGAGCACGCGCTCATCAACGTGTTCACCTACGGTCCTGTGGATGGACCGGTGGAGACCTACATGTTCCGAGAGGACTTCCATACGCTAGAAAAGGCGGTAGCGCATACGGAACAAGAAGAGGTCAGCCTGAGACAGTCTCAGGCTAACTCGTCAAACTATCGTCCGACGAGACGACAGGAAACGAAAATGCCCCGAACCAATGGACCCCCTGTTACATCGAGAAAGCGATAACTCGCTCTTCGAGACACGTTGAACGGCAAGCATGCCATCGCTGTCAGAAGATTTGACACTACGCGCTCATGAGTGTAGTGTCCCGAGCACCGCAACACATCCGAAAACAGGATGTGATGACCACCGTTGGCCAAGGAATGGTCCAGGCGTGGGTCCGACCATGTCGCTAAGCCGCGACAGCAAGTCGGACCGTCAATAAACGGACAGGGTTAGTAGAGGCGGAAAACCCTGCTGATTTAGCAACGTCAAGAGAATTTGTAAGACTCTTGACGAAGATTGATCCCAACACACAGTTACTGTGTGTTACTGCCCTTAGTGATGAGGAGTCTCTCAAAACTTTGAAGATCGAAGTGACAAGTGGAATGCCCCTTCGAGCCCTAGTTGACTGTGGGACGTCGAACAGTATCATTCGACGCCAGTCGCTAAGGGAAAGAAGTCTCAACTATGTTGAGCGAGAGTTCCCTCCAACGAGGATGACGGTGTGCCTTGCTACAGGCGCATCCGTAACAGTGAACAAACGTGTAGTGGGAATCCACTACACGCTAGAAGGAAAGCAGTACGATGATGCTTCATCGTACTAGATTTTGGATGACAAATTTGATGTCATACTCGGTTCGTCATGGCTTAGAAAATACTAGCCAGTGGTTAGCCTGGCAGCATCGATCCGTGAAGATGCTTCGCCGTTTGTTCATCGGATGGCAATACTGATGAATCGTCTGGAGCGTCCACAAGCGTGTGGATGTACTACGAGTGAGTGCGATGGCCCTTACTTGTGGTACGGTCGTTAGCACGACTGCAAAGATTACAGTGTAGAAGGCCGCTAAACTGTAGAATTAGCTTCCGGCACCTGTAGAGACACAGGCTGCGCCGAAGGTTCACCACTCAAAAAGATAGAGAGACTGAACACCGATGCACACCAAGAAGGGTGCGTCCGAGAAGAGAGATTAGTGTTGTTCAGGATGAACAACACTTTTGAAGCAAGATCGAATAAAAGCATAGTCGATCAACAAAGAAAGCAAACACGATCGACCAAAAGAGAGTCGATCGAAGAGGACGTGACTGTGTGATAGTGCTCCCACAGTCAGTAAACGTCTTGCAAGAAAATCTTCCTTTAGTTCCTGAGGAGTGATAACTTCGGAGAGAGCTATGTTAAGGGTTTGTTTCCCCAACCACCTGAGGATGTGTTTTTCCAGGAAATCACATAGTCAGTTAATGTCTTGGAGAATGACGGATCAAGTGTAGGCGCTATACACTTGATCTGGTTACATCTCCAAAGTTAGCTTGAGGTGGTCAAGTTGCAAACGCTAGAATCTAAAGATTCTTGCAAGATCTGTGCAGTGACAAGATCAAGCAGATTCGCTTACGCGTCACAGAGGACGAGTACGTCGCCAAAATTTGGTTGGCATTAGTGTTTGCTGGAGAACGAAAGGGTTCTCAGTAGCTCATCGGATGGACGAGAGGAAAACTCGATGAGAAGACTCGGATTGATGATACACGCTTCAATCTTGAGAGTCTTTGAAGACAAATCCTTTGTATCATAATTTGATCCAATACAGGGATGTTTCCCGGAATCCGTGCCATGCGAGCTGCCCAAGAACAAAGGCAATCGAAATGACATCGAACTGAAACATGGTTCGAAATTCTGTGTCATGAATCAGTGGCCACTGCCTCGTGAACAGGTAACAGCGATCGACAAATTCTTTGCCGATCGTTTAGCAGCTGGTCATGTGAGGGAATCAACATCCCCACGCAGCTCTCTGAACTTGTGTGCGAAAAAGGCCGCAGGAGGGTGGCGGATAGTGCACGCGTTTTGTAAATTGAACTCTGCACTGGTACCGGCTCAGACGCCGACACCGAGGAAGGACACAATCATAAACCATATGGCAAAAGTACTATTTTTCTTGTCCATGGATTCGATGGATGGATCTATCAGATCCTCATGCGTGGACGGGATATCCCGTACACAGCAGTGAGCACCCCCAGTGGTATGCTCTGGGAGTGGCTAGTGATGCCACTGGTATTAAGTAACGCTCCCTGTAACGTTCAACAGATGTGTTACGAATCTGTTAAGATTGGTGCGATTTCTCACCGAGTTAATTCGACGATTTTCTTCGTCCATAGCCGGGCTATGGATGGAAAAAGACAAGGAAGGTTCATAGAATCCACGTCCGGAAGGTTCTTACATTAATGCGAGAGCGTAAGTTGTTTGCAAACCTCAAGAAGTGTATATTCGCAGCGAGCGAAAACCACTTCTTGGGTGCATCGTGGGTAAAAAATAGCGTACGCCCTGATCCAGAAAAGATCAAGGCAAATAGCGAATGGGATGTGCCAGTCGACGTCAAGGGACTTCGAAAGCTCCTTGGCTTGGCGGCGGGTACTTGCTCAAGTACTCGCGCAACAATGTCAAAATGACCGTACACCTCTTTCGTCTGCTAGAGAAAAACGAGAGGGTGGTGCGCTACGTGTCAGAACTCTTTTAAAGGCACTATGAAATCTTGATACAGTTGCCTGTATGGCAATTACAGACCAAGTAAAAACCGTTCCACGTGGAACGTGTGACGCCAGCGAGTTTGCAATCGGCTGCGCGTTAATGCAGTACGACTCAAACGGCGTTAAACGCGTCGCTGCTACCCATCGCTTCATCTGCAAGCAGCTTAGCAAAATTATCCAGTATGATGACCAGGAAACCCCTTGCCATGAAATGTGCACTGGCCAAGTTTCGGGTATGTCCCCTTAAAGATGGGCCCTCCATCATTTATATCGACCATGCGTCATTACGCACGGCCGTAAACAGTCCACACCTCTTGCAACGAATGGCGAGGTGTCTGTCTTTCTTCGCGAATTGCAACTTCTCCGTCGAGTAAAATTAGGACGACTTGATGTCGTCGCTGACGCTCTTTCGCGTCGACCCGATTTCGAGCCGACTGCTCGACACAACAGTAGGGGTGATCCCACTGTAGCAACACTAATTGAGTGTTCCGTCGTCAAGTCTGCTCGAAGACGTTCGGAAAGCACCCACAGAAGATGAGTCTCTTCTGCGGTTGATGGATTACGTATCCAATCCGTGCAGTCAAGCTTTGAAAAGTTTGTCGTCTCAATACCGCTCTTCAACCGCACAGTATTCTGTTCGTGATCGACAGCTGTACTATACAACAGTCAACGGCGACTCACCTCGTGTCGTCGTTCCCGCTCATAATGATTTGCGGTTGCGCATCATGTATGAGTGTCACGATGGCCAGACAAGTGGGCATCGCGGTAGAGAAAAGACTCACCTCATGGTAAGTCATGACGGCTACTGGCCACGTCAGTATTAGTTTGTGCGCAAATACATTCGCGCTTGCAAAGTTTGCTAGCGGGTGAAGCCTAGTCCTTCATCCCGTGCACCCTTGCAGCTTCTACCAATTCAGTAAGAGTGCTGGCAGTCCGTATCGATGGACTTCGTCGTCGGGTTTCCTATATACGCTCACAAGAATGCTGGTATTCTTGTGTTGTTATCGGTTTCGCAAGATGGTACATCTTGTTGCTGTACCAAAGTCACTCACAGCCCAGGGCTGTCCTCGTGTCTTCATTGATACTATCTTCCGACTTCACGAGTTACCCCGTGAAAACTCGTTTCCGATAGGGACCCCCGCTTTACGGCGGAGCCTTCTGGCAATCCGTGTTCCTTTAATCAGGAACACGTTCGAAGATGTCAACTTCTGACCATTTAGAAACAGATGGTCCGACGGAACGCGTTAACCGCGTCCTTGAAGAGATACTTCGAGGGTACGTCTACTCGTTTACGAGTTGGATTGATTTCTTGCCAATGGAGGAATTTGCCATCAACAGGCGATGCGAGCGTCGACAACGCATACACCGTTCTTTGTGAATGACCTACGCCATTCACGTTTACCCGCCTTCTAAGAGTGTGACTATAGTTTAAGGGGGGAATCTATCGAACAAAAATCGATCTGGTTCTTCCTCATCACACGTCGACAATGATGTCGACATTATGGATGACGACGTCGATCACATCGATATCGATGATGATGATGACGACGATGATAATACATTCAGCATTGCCAAAGACGCTACAAGTGAGGACGATGACCCCTCACGGGTGAAGACAACGTTCTTTCATCAGTGCACACGAAGCGCACTGCTGTTGACAAGGGTGAAACAACAGAGAAATTTCTGCTGACTCACGAAGCGGTTGTCCGCTTCGTTCAAGACTCTATTGCAGATGCACTAGACAGACAGAAAAGAAACGCAGACAAACATGGAAGGGCGAATGTTATTTAAATATTGAAGAAGACTAAGTTTTTACTGTCTACAGTAAATCTACCAAAACACGCAGTGATAAACGTGGGCAGCAGTAAATTAATGACCAAGTATATCGGTCCATTTCGTATGTTGCGCCATATGGGCAACGCATACACGAATGAACTGCCTCTAATGATGCGTACGCATCCTGCGTATTGCGTTGGGCGTCTCCGTCCGTACTATCAGTACGAGCCCGTTTCGAGATGCGAAGAACACCTCCGCGGTCGAGAGCCGAGACCACCTTCGAGTGGTCCCGTTTCAACGAGCCAGTCTGGTCGACTAGCGAAATGACCTGCTCACGCAGTTGAGCGATGTCCTGATGAGCTGCAGCCAGCTCGTCACGAAGAGAACGAATGCAACGTTCATTCTCAAGCTGCGCGAGCGCAAACATGGCACGACCGTTCGAACGATCGTGCGCTAAGGAAATTGAAATTGTCCTTTACAAAGTCATGGAGCTCATAACGCCGAGTCCGTTCATGATCCAGGTCATCATGTAACTGTTCTGTTACACGGTTCATTTTCTGAACATCAAGCTGATCCGACCCTCGAGCCGGATCAGGCGTTCCCACCGCCACCACATACTTTGGTGGACTCAAGCGGCGGTCAACGCTTCCTGGTAGAGCGTATTTTTAGCCACCGCGATGTGAATGGCGTCCAGACGAGTTACCTCGTCCGCTGGCGTGGCTATCCACCGGCGTGGGACAGCTGAGAGCCTCGTGCCCAGCTGATTGTAAATGTTCTGGGTCTCGTCGAGCAATATGACGAGACCCATCCGCTGCGTTAAAGAGAGGCCGTCAGAAAACAACCTCTCCGAACGCGAGTACAGGGGTTGCAAAGTGTCGATCCCTTCGGCCATCTTGGAAGAGATGCGCGCCCTCCAGTAGGAATCATTAGGGAGTTCGGCCTTACTAGGGGCACGGCTAGCATTGTCCAGGCATCCTGGATATGGATCGCTCCAAGAGAGACTGGGTACAGATGCCTCTCTGAAAGCCGGTGCGACTTGTGTCGCGCCCCAAATGCGTCATGCTCTTCAAACCTGATGCGAGCTGCATCGAGTTCGGCGAGCCAGGCCTCACAGCCAATGCACTCGATGTTATGGATGAGGGCGTTCCATCCTCGCACCAAGGATTTGCCGTATCGAACACGGCTGCCATTGTAGCACATATGTTTGTATATCACATTGGTGAAGAAGTCTTCCTCGGCACGGATATTCTCCGTCCTGGAATCAGGTGGGCAAATCTTCCTGCAATCGAATAGCGGGGTTCGATCCCGTTCTGTATTTATGCTGGCCAACCGATTTTACTCTCTGAATTATGTTATTCACGGAGACTCCACTTGAGGAGAGTGGCGCGGGACATTTCGGTCCCTGACCTCTTGATTTGTATTAGTGTGAGCGCTGATACCGGTGAATCCCTGATCCCTCGAGTTACTTCTCTCGTGGTGATGTATAGGTGCATCCCCACCATCCCCACGCGTCCTATCGGTGGATGGAATTGCGTGAGGCGGAGATTCATCGGAGTAATCACTCGATCCGAAGATCTCGGTCATGATACCGCCACGTTGACAAGAGCCAGTCAAGCTGGCCAAGATCAGTGTCCGCCCCGGGTGATTCGGAGGCGTGAGGTGTCGCCTGCGAGTCGGATACACCAACTGACTCGCCAGAAGACATGAGCTCATTTTCATACTCATCTAGATTACGATTCGCGGTACCCGCTGCAGACTCAGCGGATGTACATGTCGCACGTGGTGACTCACCACGAGGACTGTTGACAAGAACAGGTACCGAATCACCTGCTGCTGAGGCGTGAAAGGCACTTTCCGCGGCCGCACGCATGCGTGCAGCCGCCCTTCATGCTTTTGCAGTAGCAACTTCCGTGGTTTTTGAAACCATGCGTTGAATTGGCAAATGAATGGAATTTGATCAACAAGTGCTCCCCTTCCTAGAGTGAACCAACGGTGATCACCCTGTCCCAATCAATTCTTATTCAATTAACGGGTGGATAATTGTTAAGGGGGTTTATGTAACATTCTAGACCGTTACATGATGTTGACACCAAACGGTGTCTATAGGGAGTTTATCTCGCATGACAGTCTCCTGCCAATCTTGTCCGAGATAGATAATATTGAAGGAATATTATCCTCTTTTGATAATATTCGCGTGCTGCTCCAAGATTGCTTGATATAAGACAAATCAGTCATAGATTTCGACCAATCTCTTCTAGGCGCGCGTTATACGTGGCGAGCAGGTTGTCGTCATACGACGACGTAGATTAATATAGTTCGATAAAGATTGTAATTATATCGATAGCTTAAATTTATTGAAAACGGTTCTCTCTTAACCCTTTACTTGATTCAGCCTTTTGAATAAATTAGCTTCCTGTGCACGTACTCGTGTACGTAAAGTTTCGTGGCACCCAGACAAAGATGCTTTGTTACAAAGAAGCTCTGTTGAAAAGCTGGATGCATTTACAGAGATGTTTAACAACCGACGTACTCGGTAACAATTTCGATCGGTACAGATACAACCGCACGCATCTTTTGCGTACCACGATCAGTCAGTGATGATGTGAAGACCTTTGAGAGCTCGTGATACGGTTCTAGTGACTGGTATCGTGACCATCGCGATTGATCCTGTGAATTTCGTTCCGCCTCATCTCAACAAAACAAAAGCAAGTGCAACCACGAGGATATTGTCAGTAAAGCGATTGTCAAAGTGACATAACTGTCACGTATGTATCACGATCTTCTAATTAACACATGTTTGTTGTGCAAACACCAGGTGACAACGCGCGGCATTATTCAAGTTCCCCCAGTATTGGGGCGCGGAGGGAAGCAAGATCAGACAAGATTCTATCGACTTCGAGATAAGCAGTAGATACATTAGCGACCGCGAAGGATGAACTGTACGCAAGGTGAATGCCGAGCCTTCGAAACCTACTTTCTGTTAGTCTGTCTTTGCGTACGTGCGTCTTTGCGACTGTGTGTCTGTCTGTTTATCCGTCTTTGTGGTGTGTGGATAACACGGGTGCATGTACACGTCGCACCACGTGCGATGCAGCATGTCCCTCCTCATTGGTAGATTTGCATTTTGGTTTCACTCTTATACCAGGTCACGAACCGCGTTCAGTGTTCGTCACATACATGTACCAATGACGCACATGATCGGATTAAAGAGACAAGTGCGGATGGACGGCGAACAAGCAAATATTCGACACTTCATGACAGCAAAAGTGTCGCACTTCAAACAGTACATGACAAGTGATTTTCATCCAAAGTTATCTATGAAATGATAAGATAAGAATGAATGTGAACCTTCTCCTCTAGTTGGAAGAAGAATCTTCGTCCACTAGATTTCCGTTACAGATGTGTCCAATACATATCATCGATCGCGTTTGTTGTTGACGGCGTTCCCGAGCAGTTATGCACTACCTTTATCATATTCGTCTCTTTGGATCGTCAATAACATCAACGAGTACTCTCACATACAACGATGTAACTACACTTCACTTTGAATACACGACGCACAACCCATTCCCAAGTCGTCCACCACCCCAAATGGGTGTGTGTGTGTAGATTCTTCAGAACTTAATCAGTTCTATGGACTAATTTACTCAAGGGCGATCTCCACGGCTTGCGTATGGACGTAATGCGTGCCCGATCGCGAAGTTATTCGTGAGTGTGCGTTATGTAACAGAGGCACTCCGTTACATGATAATTTATGCAAGATAATTATTAAGTATGATTATTATGTTAGGGCAAACACAATAATTAACGAAATTATCCTGACACATATTATTGCTTCGCAGATGTAACACACTGCTCATTGGTAGATACATGATCGAGATTTTAAATAATAAAGACTAGCCACTACAGAAGCTCGTAATGAGTAGTGTGCAGATAGTAACAGTGCACGTATGTATTTGTACATAATTAAATAAAACTAAATAGGGATATGCTGAAAGGATCAACTATACTAAATACAGCTCTACGCTTTCCTTTACTGAGTACTCTTACTCCGTACATCAATCCCCCTGTGCACGCATGTGGAAGTGAGGTAGTCGGAAGCACATCCCCTTGCTCTATCGGTAGTGAAAATTTATTTAATTAGCTGAATAAGGTTGCGTTGCACCCCTTCATTTAAATGGCACGTATGCATACGAACACTCGTACGTGCACAGAAAGCTAATTTACTCAAAAGGCTAAATTAAGTAAAGGGTAAAAAGAGAGCCGTATTTAATAAATTTAAGCTATTAACATAACTCCTGTCCTGATCTAAGTATGTTAACCTATATTGTCGTATGACGACAACCTGCTCGCCATTCATTGCGCGCGTCCAGCAGCGATCGGTGGTAATCTTGGTTGATATGTGTTTATCAACCAAGCTTCGAGCAGTACGTGAATATTATCAAAAGAGGATTGCATTCCTTCAATATTACTTATCGCAGGTCGTATTGACAGGAGATTTCCACGCGAGAAGATCTCCCTCTTGACACCGTTTGGTGTCAACATCATGTAACGGGCGACCATGTTACATCCACCCCCTTAACCATCAATCACCCCGTAGATTGAATTAAATTGATCGGGGACATGGTGATAACCTTTGGGTCACTCCGGGAAAAAGGAGGTACTTGTTGGTCAAATTTCAACTCATTTGCCGATTCATTGCATGGTGTCAAAGTCCATGTGGTGCGCTGCCGAAGCAGCCAGAAAGGCGGTTGCAAGCATGCGTGTAGCCAAAGAAAACTTCTCAAGCCTCAGCAGCAGGTTATCATTCGCCTCCTGTTGCAAGTGAGCAACAGGCAGTGCCTGTTGTGAAAAGTCCGCGTGGTGAGCCGCCATGTGCGACAGATACATCCGCTGCGTCTAACGCGGGTACCGCGAATAGAAATATTGATGAGCCTGAAATATATATCATCTATTCTGGCGAGTCGAATGTGTGGTTCTACTCAGGGCGGCGCCTCCTGACTCCGGGTCACCCGGGGCGGACACTGATCTTGGCCAGCTTGACTGGATCTTGTCAACGTGGCGGTATCATGACCGAGATCTTCGGATCGAGTGATTACTCCGACGAATCTCCGCCTCACGCAAGTCCATCCACCGATAGGACGCGTGGGGATGGTGGGGATGCACCTATACATCACCACGAGCGAAGTAACTCGAGGGATCAGGGATTCACCGGTATCAGCGCTCACACTAATAAAAATCAAGAGTTCAGGGACCGAAATGTCCCGCGCCACTCTCCTCAAGTGGAGTCTCCGTGAATAACATAATTCAGAGAGTAAAATCGGTTGGCCAGCATAAATACAGAACGGGATCGAACCCCGCTATTCGATTGCAGGAAGATTTGCCCACCTGATTCCAGGACGGAGAATATCCGTGCCGAGGAAGACTTCTTCACCAATGTGATCTACAAACATCCGTGCTACAATGGCAGCCGTGTTTGAGACGGCAAATTCGTGGTGCAAGGATGGAACGCCCTCATCCATAACATCGAGTGCATTGGCTGTGAGGCCTGGCTCGCCGAACTTGATGCAGCTCGCATCAGGTTTAAAAAACTCAACGCAATTGGGGCGCGACATAAGTTGCACCAGCTTCCAAGAGAGGCAGGATTATCCTGTCTTTCTTGAAGCGATCCATATCCAGGATGCCTTAACAGTGCTAGCCGTGCCCCTAGTGAGGCCTGACTCCCTAATGTTACCTACTGGAAAGTGCGCATCTCTTCTTAGGTGGCCGAAATATTTGATGCTTTGCAATCCCTGTAATCGCGTTCGGAGAGGTCGTTTTCCGACGGCCCCTCTTTAACGCAGCGGATGGGTCTCGTCATATTGCTCGACGAGACCCAGAACACCAACAATC